ACTCTTCCCTTGGCTTATGTGAGTGAGGCTCCGGACACTGGAAGTTATGGCATCACTGAGTTTCCCACCAAGTATTTAGTTAGCAGGAATGGGGCATGGTCTCAGATGGTGACTGCATTGAGGCTCCATTATTTTTTTTTTTAAAGATTTATTTGAGACAGAGAGGATGGGGAGGGGCAGAGGGAGAAAATCTTCAAGCAGACTCTCTGCTGAGCATAGAGCTCAACATGAAGCTGAACCTCACTACCCATGAGATCACAACCTGAGCAGAAACAGAGAGTTGGGTGTTTAACTGACTGAGCCACCCAGGTGCCCCAGGCCCAGTAGTTTTGATAGAATGGCACTCATTCTTTTTTCTAACACTGGAGTTCATGAGCAAGAATTATACTTTCATAGCACAGATACAACTGACCTCATACTCTAGCGTAATCAACACATGGCACCATCTTCTTCATGGGTAGAACCATCAAGCACATTGCCTACCATTATCAGAACACCTACAAAGTTCTGGGCCAGTGGCTACTGCTGCCTCTCTGCAGTATATGAAAGCCGTGAGAGTAGGTATGTGATATAGTTTTTGTCAAATCTGGAGCTTAGAAGTAGCCTCCAGAAGTTGCTGGTGAATTTCTCTGGAAGTGATGCTAGCAATATGCTGGGGTATGTATGATGATAATATACAAGGGCTTGATATTCTACTCCCATCCTTCCAATTGCATGTGGAGTATCATCTGTGAGAGTTAGAACTTTCAACCCTTGTCTCTACCTTCTACCCCAACTTCTACACTCATATAGGCAATGGAAGATCAAGAAAACTGAGAGCCTCAGGGAGTTTTATTACAATATCCCTCCCAACCAGTGGTTCTTAGGAGTTGAGCCAGACCTAGGAATGGGCATCTTTGAGGGTACACATATTCCATACACTAGTGGAAATTGCATCTCAAAGTGGTGAGGTTAAAGTTAAATAGACTGGAACTGGGTTACAAGATCCAAATAGGGCTAGATGAACAGAAGGATCAAATTATGAAGATAGACCACAGAATGAGAAGAATGAGAGGAAGCAATGCATAAGAAGAGTAGAAGCAAGTAGAAAAGAGGAAGTCTGGAGGAAACGGTTAATCCAGTATCCACATGTTCATGGAGGCATTTTATTTGATGTCCATGACAATTGTTGCAGGTATGCTGAGATCCAATAGAAGAGCCAAAGCAAAACAAACGTGCAGCTCCTGCCTTGCTAGTATTAACTCTTTAATTCTACATTCTTATCAACTTGCAAATCTATCCATCCCTCTCTTTTTTGCAGTTGTTTCCTAAGTCAGAGATTCTACCTCTTAAATACTCCTCAATCTATTTCCATAGAGACCAGAGTGGAAGATGGCGGAAGAGTAGGGTCCCCAAGTCACCTGTCTCCACCAACTTACCTAGATAACTTTCAAACCATCCTGAACACCTACGTATTTGGCCTGAGACTTAAAGAGAGAAGAGCTGGAACACTACAGAGGGAAGAGTTTGTACTTCTAACAAGGTAGGAAGACGGAAAAAATAAAAATAAGAAAGAATCCAGTGGGGGAGGGGCCCCGCGAGGAGCCGGGCTAAGGCTGGGGGGCGGGAGCCCCCAGGACGGAAAGCCCAGTCCTGGAGAATCAGGAACTTTACCAATCTTCCCGGACGGAAAGGGGCTCGCAGAACTCGGGCAGGATCTCAGGGTGGGCAGTGGAGCCTCCAGCCTCCCGGGGTCACTGACAGAGGACGTGCGCCCGGGGGAGGGCGCCCCACACCCCGCGGGCCGAGCGCGGTGAAGGGCTGGAGCGCCCGGCGGGGCCTCGGGGAGCAGCCGGTCGGTCAGGCGGGGGCTCCGGGCGGAGGGGCTGCGCCCTGCTGCCTTCGGGAGCCGCGGCCCCGGGAGCGACCCCGGCAGCGCAGGCCCCGGAGCCCAGGATCCTGCGCTCCCCCCGGGACAGGGGGGCGGGGAGGGCCCAGGACAGCGGGGACGCTCCTGCCACCGCCGCCGGGCACCCCCGGAGCATCCAGGCCAGTGCGGACGGGGAGCTGCGGTCCGTACTGCGGGAGCTGACGCCAGGGCTGGGGACCGGGCCGCCGCCAGTGGGGTTGTCCCTCCTGGTGTCCCCCTGCGCCTGGGAGGGGCGGGGCCGCCAGGGGACAGGGGCCTCACGGGGTCAACAGCTCCACTGAGCCGTGCACCTGGCAGGGGTGGGGCAGCTCCCCCAGGTGCACACACCTGAGAACCGGCACAGCAGGCCCCTCCCCCAGAAGACCAGCTGGAAGGACGCGGGAAGAGCAAGTTCTCGACCCAGCAGCGCTGGAAAGCTCCAGGGGAGGTTGAGGGATTTATAGTATATAGAACCAGAGGGTACCCCTCTTCTTTGTTTGTTTGTTTGTTTTGTTTTTCGTTCTTTGTTTTTTCTTTCCCTTTTTTCCTCTTTTCCTTCCTTTTACCAGTACAACTTGTTTTTAGCCACTCTGCACTGAGCAAAATGACTAGAAAGAAGAACTCACCACAAAAGAAAGAATCAGAAACAGTCCTCTCTCCCACAGAGTTACAGAATTTGGATTACAATTCGATGTCAGAAAGTCAATTCAGAAGCACAATTATAAAGCTACTGGTGGCTCTGGAAAAAAGCATAAAGGATTCAAGAGACTTCATGACTGCAGAATTTAGATCTAATCAGGCCGAAAGTAAAAATCAATTCAATGAGATGCAATCCAAACTGGAGGTCCTAACGACGAGGGTTAACGAGGTAGAAGAAGGAGTGAGTGACCTAGAAGACAAGTTGATGTCAAGGAAGGAAGCTGAGGAAAAAGGAGAAAAACAATTAAAAGATCATGAAGAATGGTTAAGGGAAATAAACGACAGCCTCAGAAGGAAAAATCTATGTTTAATTAGGGCTTGGGAAGGCACCGAAAAGGACAGAGGACCAGAAAGTGTATTTGAACAAATCATAGTTGAGAACTCCTCTAACTTGGGGAGAGAAACAGGCATTCAGATCAAGGAGATAGAGATTCTGCCCCCCCCAAAAAAATCAGTAAAAACCATTCAACACCTCAACATTTAATAGTGAAACTTGCAAATTCCAAAGATAGAGACCAGAGTGATCTAAAACACATTTGATTTGAGTACCTTTAATACCTTTCTATATCCTACAGAATACTTTCTGAGAGCATATTAGACTCTTCTCTTGCCCATGCTATTTCTCTACCCTCATCTCTCTCTAGACCCAATGACTTACTGGTATTTCCTGAAGCATGCCATTCTATTACATTCCTACATGACTTAGTTTCTCTGGATATTGCCTGGAGTATTCTACTCTTGTCTGGTAAATTCCAGCTAGTATCCTCTGACTTTCTGCCTCTCTGAATTCCTTTCTGACCTATCAAGGCAGAGTTGAAACTACTTTCTTCATAGACTTTCTCTATTGTAGCGCCCAATGCAGAGTCATAGTGATTTGAAAATTTGTTTCTAGAGAGCATAGACTATGTCTAATTTCTGTGCCTTCAGAGCCTGACATATGGTAGTCTTAAATTATCTTTGAATAGGGAAGCAAAATGCTTTGTTTAAAAGTAGGGGGAGGGGGATCCCTGGGTGGCGCAGCACTTTGGCACCTGCCTTTGGCCCAGGGTGTGATCCTGGAGACCCGGGATCGAATCCCACATCGGGCTCCCGGTGCATGGAGCCTGCTTCTCCCTCTGCCTATGTCTCTGCCTCTCTCTCTCTCTCTGTGACCATCATAAATAAATTTAAAAAAATTAAAAAAAAATAAAAGTAGGAGGAGGGCAGCCTGGGTGGCTCAGCGGCTTAGTGCTGCCATCAGCCCAGGGCATGAACCTGGAGACTCCGGATCGAGGCCACATAAGGCTCCCTGCATGGAACCTGCTTCTCCCTCTGCCTGTGTCTGCCTCTCTCTCAATCTGTCTCTCTCATGAATAAATAAATAAAATCTTAAAAAAAAGAAGTTGAAGAAACTTGTCAACATGTTGTTGATAACCTCTTTGATCCAAGATTTGATGTCTGAAGTAGGTGATATTAATTCCTTCATTAATTCAAGTGTTTTTTGAACATCTACCCTAAGCCAGGCATGGGAATACAATGATGAATAAAAAGAGATATGTTCTTTACTTCTCTTAGGGAGTTGAATATTTATTGGGGGAAACTGTTCATTTGCTTGAATTATTAAATAAAATAGAACATATTTTGGGTTTGGTCCATGATGTCAGTCTGAGATTTTCCCTAACACAAAGTTTTCTGCAGTATAAGGTCAAAGCCTTTGCCTGTTGGGCTACTTTAACTTTATGTATGCCACAAGTCTGTCTTTCGTTCTTCAGCACAGAAAAACCATTTTGGCTTATGGACACTACAAACTAAGAAACCACCATGTAGAACAGGTGAACATCTTGTTTTAATCGAAGCAAAGTTTGTGTTTGGATATCCATGGAGGGTTGAGATACACGAAAGTGCCTTTACAGTTTACCTAATGCATTTGCTGTGTTTTTGGTTTTGCTTATAGGAAAATCAAAGGAATAGGGAAGCATTCAAGAATCAACAAAACAGGATCACCTTCTTAGATTGGAGGGACTACCTTTAGGTAGTGACGTGTTATAATATATATATGCCCAAGCAAATAGAAGTTTTATCCAGAAGGATAGTGTAGTGATACATTTCACTTACCAACTTTAGTGTAAAACAACAGGGTACAAGATGTTGGGTTCTCTATCCCAACAGCAGCAAATGCCTATGTACAAATGGGAATTACTTTTCTCAAAACTGAACTCTGTCCATTTCCTCAATTAACTTTACAAGGGTGGTTTAGTTGCTTGTTTTTGATGGGCAGGGTAGCAATTGTGATGAGAAAAGGGGGTTCTTGCACTGGTTAGGTGGCCAGGCAAGGTTACCAAGGGGCTCATTCTGGCTCCAGAAAGGGCAGCAAATCATGCCCACTGCCTGCAACCAGATCATCTCCACTCCTCAGAACTTGATCAAGTCTACTTCATTGGATTGGGTCATTCCCACTCCGGGAAAGTGGGAGTGGGTCATCCCTACTGCCTGAAGCCAGGAGATCGTCCCCACTCCCAGCTGAAGAAGGCAGGCAGTCACTGCCGAGCTCTCTTCCACCAGCAACTCTGGATTTGATCGCTCCCATCAGACCTTCAAAGGATCTGAATGTGGCTGACTTCTTCATGTCCCCAAGCTTCCTGCAAACGGCAGAGCCCATGGTGGACAGGGCAGCTGGCGTCTTTTGTTTCATGTAAACATCGGACACTTGAACGTTGTGCCAGCTCTTGGACGGATTCTGCCTTAGTGGCACCAAGGCTACGAGGTCCAGCTTCCTTTGGAGCTCTGTGCAACGCCTTTCTTTGGCTGCCAGAGTGTGGCGTAGGGTTACAATTTCCTCCTCCAATTTAGTGAGCTCGGATTTGAGCTCCTTTCGTGCAGCCCCTGGGAGATCCTCTGCTTCCGCAGTCTGGCAGGATTCAGGGGCGCTCGCTGAAGTCTCTGTCGTGGTGCCCGGCATAGACTGGGAAAGATCTTCATGAAGAGAGTCCAGGTCCAGTTCCTGGTACAGAAAGTTGAACTGGTGGCCAGCGTAGAGAGAATCTCGGCCAGCAGAGTGGAAATCCAAACCTGTGGGGTCCGACTCCCGGCTGGTGTAAAAGGACTCGGGGAGGGATGAATCCATATGGTAGTGGGTGGGCGGGTCTCCTCGGTGGGCCTCAAGTCACTGACATGCAGGGGAGATGCGTCGGCTCAGTGCATCCACTTCTGGGTGGAGGGAGGGAGTGGGCGGGCAGGGGCAGGGCAGGCCCTGGGAGCTCAGGGCGCTAGGCGGGGTTTCCGGGTTGAAGGAACCCTGGACTCCCCCGAAATGACTGCACGCTCCTGGTGGTGTTTCCACGTCACAATGAACATGTGAGGTGGTCAGTGCGCAGATTATTATCAGAGAAGAGAGGTATTTTTCCTTTTGCCACAGTCCAGGATAGATCTCCACCTTCGAACAAAGTCTGGCTTCCTTTACAGACCTCTTTGCACCACCCCAGACTTGGCCAAACTCTTGAAAATCAGTTGAACCCTTTGTACGAACAGAAATTTATTTAAAAAGCCCAATACAGAAAACAAATGAAAACTGCCCAGTAGTCGGGGCACAGAGTTTAGAACTCCTAAATTCCTTTTTCCCTTCCCTGGCTACCAAAGAGCCTGAGAAACTCCTAGGACTTCTCATAAAGTGGATTTGAAGGCTCCTCATAATCTTGAGTCTAGGTGATGATGAACATGCATGCTCCTGTGGCGTGAAGTATCAACGGTGCCAGAGGCTTCGGATAATGAAACTCAGAAAAGGAGTCTGACCAGTCATAGTTGCCTGTTATTTTTAGGAGGAGAGAGAAGGAGAACAAGTACATCTCTAATTGTTGTGGCAATTTTAAGCTTAATAAAAGCAAAGACTACTATACTCAGAATTTAGGAGAAGAGAAATAAGACATATGCACATGGACAGTGTGTGGGTTTTTAATATTGCAGTTGCTTTTTTTTTCTTCCCAATCAGCCACTTATTTCTGAAAGCATGTCTGCCCACACACATGGCTATCAGATGTGGGAAATAGTCTGCAAAGTAAAGTCATAGTTGGATAGTGTCTGTCTGGATATAAAACTACCATATCCCTTATTTCCAGTCAGAGCTTATAATTCATACAGTGGAAAAATCAGGACTTTAATCCAGTGAGGGCAGGTGATCACCTATCACTTAGTCCATTGCTAGGCTGCCCATTCCCAGGGAATAGCCTTGAGCAAGCTTTAGGTTCTAGTGATTTTATTGGAGATTCTGGTAGTTACTGCAAGCATGATCTTATGGTACATGATGTGATCCTTAGCAAATTCCAGCATTTGCCATACACATGCCCTATGTAGCTACAGTGAAGCATCTAGCTGGGCATCCAAACTAACTTAAGCCTTTTGGGTTTATATTAAATAACTCTTTCACATAACTTAGTAGTGTTAATTACATCTTGCTCTGAAGTGTGTACTTCTTTAGATTAAAAAAAAATGAGGATTGTTCTTGTTGAAAGCACGGAAGTTTGGCTATGGGTATAAAGGCCTGAAAAGGGCAGCAAGGACTGCCTAAAAAGTGTTTTGTTTGGGGCACCTGGGTGGCTCAATGGTTGAGTGTCTGCCTTTGACTCAGGTTGTGATCCGGGGGTCCTGGGATGGAGTCCTGCATTAGGCTCCTGTCAGGCAGCCTGCTTCTCCCTCGCCAATTTCTCTGCTTCTCCGCCTGTGTCCCTCATGAATAAAAAAATAAAATCTTTAAAAAAATGTTTTATTCCACAGAGTGAACTTTTCCTCCATTGCCTGCAGAAACACTAGTGGTTTCAGGAATGCTCTCTTTGAACTGGAACTCTTTCAAAACTGAGGATGAAAGTTAAAGAACACCCTGAATTAAGCTAAATAACATGAAACACACATTGTCCATTCAAAGTTAAGATTCCAAATGACCAGATTTGAGAGTGGGAAGTATCAGTGAGGGTGACAGAACATGAGAGACACCTAACTCTGGGAAATGAACAAGGGGTGGTGGAAAGAGACGTGGGCAGAGGGTTGGGGTGACTGGGTGATGGGCACTGAGGGGGGGCACTTAATGGGATGACCACTGGGTGTTATGCTTTATGTTGGCAAATTGAACTCCAATAAAAAATATACAAAAAAAAACCCACAAAAAACCCCCAAATGACCAGATTTGAATTTGCGTTTGATTATCCTTCTTTAACTATTTCAGCTACCAGCTTCACTGCCTGTTCTTTTTCTATGCTTCCATGCCCTTCAGTTCAAAGAATGAAATCTCTTGTTAAACTTTGATTCTTGTAAGTAGTGTAATGATCCAAAACAAAACATGGCCTCTGGAAGGGGGCCTCCTAGCTAGCTAGCATTGTTCTGACATCATGAATAGACCTACCTGTGCAAATAAGTAACACAATAGACAATCCATTTTATTAGGCTTATGTATAACCATATACAAAACATTTATTTTTTGAAAACATAGATCTGTCTAATGAAATTTCAATTAATTTACAGTGATTCTAACCAATTGTTTGAATAAACTATCCTATTAAGTTGTAAAATATTGAACTATTGCCCCGTGGTTTTAGAATCTTACATCTCTAGTTTAGACAGTGAAATAATATTTTATTTTATTTTATTTTATTTTATTTTATTTTATTTTATTTTATTTTATTTTATTTATTTTATTTTATTTTATTTTATTTTATTTATTTTATTTTATTTTATTATTGGAGCTCAATTTGCCAACATATAGCATAACACCCAGTGCTCATCCTATCAAATGCTCCCCTCAGTGCCTGTCACCCAGTCACCCCCACCCCCCGCCCACCTCCCTTTCCACCACCCCTGTTCCTTTCCCAGAGTTAGGAGTCTCTCATGTTCAGACAGTGAAATAATTTATATCACATAGAAAGGTTCACAAAGTTGTTAATCTGAAGCTGAAAGCTTATTGATGCTATTTAGGTACTAAAAACAGCCAAAATATTTGTTTCAGTAACCTATGAAGAAAGCGTTTGAGAATTATTTTCAATCCTATAACAGTTTACTATCTTTTATTTCCAAGGAAAACATTATTGACCGGTTTTTATTTTATTTTTCGTTTTTTATTTTTTATAGTTTTTTTTAAAATAATAAATTTATTTTTTATTGGTGTTCAATTTGCCAACTGCAGAATAACACCCAGTGCTCACCCCATCAAGTGCCCCTCTCAGTGCCTGTCACCCATTCACCCCCACACCCCTGCCCTCCTCCCCTTCCACCACCCCTAGTTCATTTCCCAGAGTTAGGAGTCTTCATGTTCTGTCTCCCTTTCTGATATTTCCCACACATTTCTTCTCCCTTCCCTTTTATTCCCTTTCACTATTATTTATATTCCCCAAATGAATGAGACCATATAATGTTTGTCCTTCTCCGATTGACTTACTTCACTCAGCATAATACCCTCCAGTTCCATCCACGTTGAAGCAAATGGTGGGTATTTGTCATTTCTAATGGCTGAGTAATATTTCATTGTATACACAGACCACATCTTCTTTATCCATTCATCTTTCGATGGACACCAAGGCTCCTTCCACAGTTTGGCTATTGTAGACATTGCTGCTATAAACATCGGGGTGCAGGTGTCCCGGCGTTTCATTTCATCTGTATCTTTGGGGTAAATCCCCAGCAGTGCAATTGCTGGGTCGTAGGGCAGGTCTATGTGAACTGGTGCAGCCACTCTGGAAAACTGTGTGGAGGTTCCTCAAATAGTTAAAAATAGACCTGCCCTATTGACCGGTTTTTAGTAAAGAATAAATGTTAATTATTTCTCTAGTAAGAGTGATGAATTTATTTATCAGTCCTTCTTAAACATAAAGGTAAATGGTACAACAAAAATGATGTTTTTTTCACCCTACTACTGTTTAGTAGTTTGTATGTTATGATTTATAAATAAATTATTGAAACCTGAATGTAAAAGCAAAGCCATAGCCTTCACCAGGTCTGGATTGTTTGGGATAAAAGAAGTGAGATTGTACTAACTGATACTTGAGTCTAGAAATGACTAGAGACTTGTACCAATGCCAGCAGTTTTAATCGTTGGAATTCTTTTGTTATAAAGGATCAATATAGAGCTTCCTGATTACACCAACTTGTTTTTTTTTTATAAATTAATTTTTATTGGTGTTCAATTTACCAACATACAGAATAACACCCAGTGCTCATCCCGTCAAGTGTCCCCCTCCGTGCCCGTCACCCATTCACCCCCACCCCCCACCCTCCTCCCCTTCCACCACCCCTAGTTCATTTCCCAGAGTTAGAAGTCTTTATGATCTGTGTCCCTTTCTGATATCTCCCACACATTTCTTCTCCCTTCCCTTATATTCCCACTTGTAAAATAATCCACATTGGTGGTTAAGATTGCTTCTGAAGAACTGACAATTCACTCTGCTGGCCAATCAATTGCGCTGTTAGATTTAACCATAGTGAGTTCTCTAGGGCTTGTTTCTGATACTGCAGAACTTCTACCATGAACATTTTGTTAATTTTAGTTGAATACCAGGAATAATGTTTAAATATTTAATTAAGCCTGAAAATAAGGCATGTAGTTGAAACCCTAAGCCAGTCAGAATGTATCAAGACTAGGAAGAGAAAATTGGTAGTTGGACCTTTCTTGTGAAAAGCCAGAATAGTATGTTTGATTTCAGTTTGGAAGTTATTTTCACTACTATCTCTTATCATTACCCAGTTCCATCAATAATATATGCAGTGTGTCACCACCCCCCAACAGAGATTTTCTCCATATGACCTGGAATATTTTCTGCAGTTTACAGCTGCAAGCATTATTACTACCAATACTTATATTTCAGTTGTTGAGTTTGTCTTCATTTTGGATGACATTTCCTTTCAGCAGCCCTTCTACATGGACTAATTAGCTTTAAAAATACTAGCTATATTATAGAATAGGATTTTCCTTTCTGAAGCCCAAACATACAGTCAGGATATTAAGTTGGAGTTACTGTTATTCACTCTCTTTGATGGTGTATAGAGTTGTGGCAGGAATCCCCACAGGAATGAAATTAAAATTTAGAATCTGTTCTCCTTCCCACAGCTGCCTATTTTCATGAGATGATATGTATAGGGTGAATGGGC